CGCACGCACTGTGGGTGAAACAGAGAAAACAGCATGGCTGCTGCGAGCATCATGGGAGCTCTGTTGAAAGCATTAACATGACACGCATGCTCGCTCACCTACATGTGTGTGTATCTCACACACACACACACACACACACACACACACACACACACACACACACACACACACGCGCGCGCACAAAACCAAAACAGCTGCCACTGCCCTTCTGCGTTTTAACTGTCGCAATGATTTTCACGCTTGTTTATTTTATGTAGCGGTTCGATATGCTCACGCTCGTTTAAGTTTCATGAGATGCTATTGCGCGATGCGATTTCCATATTTCAACACAGCACACCAGACTGCAATTCAATGTGTTGCTCCAGCAACATGTTACTGTGTAAATAAATCACAACAGAGATGATCTGGTCTTGCACGCAAGTGCCATTAGCTGATCTGCCGACTCATAAGTGTTCACCTTGATCTCTGCTTCGATCAATTGATCACGCTGTGACGTAATGTGTCGGGGGGGAAGGAAAAAAAACAGCTCGCTTGTTCCACTGCGCCTCCTCTGTGAGATCATACAGCCCCGACTGCAGAGCGTACAGCCTCATTGAAAATGCAGCACATTTAAAGAGGATCATATGGCAAGAAGGAAGGCACTGTTCTGGGAGAGAAGATTATACGCAGCAAGGCTGCTCTCTGCTGGCGAATGTGGCTTACTAGCGTGGCTCGGAAACATCTGGCTTTCGGAGGCAGAAAAAACACCAATGTCAAACCGCAAGCCTGGAATATGCGGAAAGCCGCTCGGGCTTTCGGCTGCCGAGGAATCTGTCAGTCAGCAACATTTCGAGGAGATGATGGCCTCCATGTGCTTGTGCATAAATAAACTAAAGCAGGGGGGATCCTGTTGCACGGTTTAAACTCTGCGTACGAGTCTGCTGCAAAAACGCACAGAATCAAAAACGAATGCATGAGTCAAAAGGAAAGTATGTCCTGGGGGCTGCAAATCTGTCGCTGGCACCTAAAAGTGCATGTGAGCAAATTTCACCTCATTACTCCCTCTTCGCCTTTCACAAGATTTCCCCTCCGACATGCGAAGTGACACTTATCCTTGCCTGCACAGCCCCACTTGCCAAAGACTTGGGGTAATAAACTGTTGTTATTGTGCTAAATGACCAAGTTCACATCGATGCGGCAGAAAGACATGGTGCTGCACGGCAGCCATTTTCTATAGCCTCAGTGGGGAACACACATGTCAGGACTTGAGCAAAGTTTGAGCATTTTCCAGAGATCAAAGTCAGCAAAGGCTCGAGAGTTAAGTGTCTAAACAATTTTCTTGAGTGTTGATCCTGTGGTAGGAGATGTGCCTGATTTATTTTTGGTTGAGGGCCAACAATCGAAAATGTTAAACCTTTTCAACATTGATGGTGGAAACAGAGCCCTAAGCAGTGAATGCCCCCGCACATATCAGGGTTCTCTATTCAACGATTCATTTGCAATTTTACCTGTGGAACCCATCCTCAGCTATTCACTTAAGATATCACCTATTTGCATTTTTTGAATGTTTTCTATAACATCCTAATGCCAAAAGATGGTGCCAAAAATAAATGTAAAAAAATAGGAGGGTGGTAATTGGTGTCAAGGAAGTATGTAGATGAAGAGCTATATTTCATCTGAGAGACAAGCTCTGTATATCACTGCGGAGCTAAATTTAGTCTGGGTTGTTAGTGGAAGTTATGGAGTCTTCGCAGCATGTACATGCATATATAATTGTTGTAATGTGAGTTTGAATTCATATCCTGAGTGATTATCCTGTGGTGTTGAGTCCATTAAGAGGGATTTTTTTTCCCCTGATCAACAAGGGCAGACAATCGTGAATGTTAAAGTTGTTAAATATTTATGGTGGTGGAAGCAGAAGCCTGACTAATGTGAGGAGGAAATTCTCAGGCAGTGACAACATTATAAAAAAAAGTGTCATGTTTATTTTCTTGGTGATATTTGAAGATAACAGATGAGGTGTTGGGTAGGAATCACACATAAAGTCTTCCATTACCTTATTGATTTCCTGTTCACTTCCTCATACGTTTCTATTCATTGTTGATAAAGGGGGTGGGCGTCGCACATACTTGTTCAACTGTTCAACAAATCACATATGCTTATCTTGCATGGCCGACAATTTCTTCATATAGTATCAAGAGGGTGTTTATTTACCCAAGTGCGTTTATTGACTCAAGTGCGAAGAGACTGCTGCAATGATCCTCTTCAATGCTGTGCATGGTGCTGGCGTTCTCACATGCGCTAAGTTTCTTCGGAACGGCTGTTTACGCGCTGCTATTTTGGTTAGTGTTCAAACGGACTAAGCCGAAGCTGTGTGAACGACAGCATCTATGAAGTGACGTCGTGACAAATAAATTTTTGGACAAAGGTACGTTTGCAGGCAGAGAATAAGTGGCGAGCGTGTCTGCCCCCGGGTTCAAATCGTGATGTAGACACTCTTTTGTGCCCACCCGCTCTGCGTAACTTAAGATTCGCATGTTGTTGTTTACAACACATGTTAAGACAACTCTGAGCACAATTTTGGACATTGAAAAGCTTCCGGGTATAGTTGCATAAAGGCATGCATGGATGAGGTTTGTGTGGAAGAACCAGAACGTCCAGTCATTCATAAATTTTGCCCTTTGACCACATTTGCCATGAACATCTTTCAAACCAATAGTGTTTATGCTTGCTATGTTATCGTGTGTGACTGTTTATGGCATCTTTTTTAATGTTAAGAAGCACAATAATAATAATAATAATAATAACAATAAATATAAAAATAATAATGATACAACTTGGCACACGTGCACTGTGGGGACTTACCATGGAAGAGTCATTCTCATCTGCTTTGTCAGCTCCACAAATGGTCCTGGCGTGTTTCGACATGATTACCTGCACCTCTGGAGAACACACACACACACACACACACACACACACACACACACACACACACACACACACACACACACACACACACACACATCAGATGGTGGGCACAATGACAAAACAGCGGAGTGGAGGAATCAATAACAAGTGAAGTAAAACATTTTTATCCCGGTTGCCTGCGCGCGCACACACACACACACACACACACACGCACGCACACACGCACACACACACGCACATACACGTGCACACAGGAGTTGGAGAAGCCTGGGGCTAAAATAACATTGTCGCTGTGATCTCGGTCTTCATTTTCTACACAGGATTTTTTTTTCCTCCCCCTTGCTCTATTGATGAATTATCATGTGATCCTAAAAGCTTCAGCGGGAGCGGGGATGTTCAAGACTCTAAAAGTTGTTATTTTATCACTCACTTGAATGTTGTTTTATTCCTTAAGGCTGAAATTTGGCTACGGAGCAATTGCTATCAGTGTATAGCACGGCTCCATATGCTTCATTATCCCACAGAAGAGCAGTATCAGTCTAATTTAGTATCATCAAAGACAAAAAAAAAAACCCCAAATGTGGTAATTGTAAATTCTTTTTTTTTTAACTTAAATATTTGATACAGTATTTTGAAATCAGCACATTTCCGTTCACTTAGTTACTGTTCTCTCTTCGACATGGGTTTCTGTTTAAGCTGTTTTGTTTTTTTGTTTTTTTTAGTAGTTGGCTGGCTTTTCAGTCGCGGGTTTACACTTTTTTTCTCATTCTGTCTGAAGATCTCTGGTCAACTGTTTGAAGTGTGACATGATCTATGACATGACCGGTCTTGCCTATACATGTGGCACAACGTTTAATCGGAACAGGAACATTTTCGCTGTGTTTGGGCATTCGGTTTCAGTCTATTTAGAAGACAAGGTTCCATGTAAATCCCCGGCTAAAGGGACTGTTGATGCATGCTGCGATGAAACAGATGCCAATCATGAGACCAGGGTGTTAGATGTAAAAATGCCACAGTAACTTCATTACAAATAATATACAGTGGTCCCCAGTGTTTAGAACCAAGTTCCATTCCTACATTGTAACATGAATTTGTATGCAATTCAAAACACTTCGTAGTCTATCGTACCAGGAACACTCAAATGGAAATAATAATAATAATAGAGAGTGCAGCTAAACATTAATGTATGCTAATGAAAAAGTCATAATTACAGTAGATTATTGCTTGATAAAACAAATCCAAGCCATAAATATTTGAACAAAAAAACAGAAATGCTAACTGAGCCTTCTTGTGCTGTGTAGCACAAGAAATCAAACACCTCAAGTAAAAGGAATAAAAGTCAAAGTATTAAACATGCTGTAATAATACATGACATTTTTTTCCACATTTTGTAAATGTTTCACAACTAGCGACAGATCTTCCATCATCATGACCTTAGTGGTGACTTGGACCTCATACATACCTTCATTCAGGTCAGCGCTGCTGGGATTTTCCTCTTCCACCATCCCTGCTGGAGTATCTCTGTTTAGCGACAGATCAGTCTCAGCAGGTTCTGGAGCACCTGTCTCCTCGGATTCCTCGGAACGCTCCTCTGTGTGGAGGCTGGACTCCAAAGTGGTGTCAGTTTCCTCCAAACTCACTGTGGGTTCCGCTGATGTCTGCAAATGCATGTTTTGGTCCACTTTCTCTCCGGCGAATCCCTCAGTTGGCTGCTGCTGCTCCTCCAAGTGGGTACTTTCCTCAGTGGGGTGGAGGATGTCTGTCGCACAGCTTCCAACCGACTGAAAGCTGACGTCGTCGTCACTGGACAGTCCATGGGTTAAACCCAAATTGGGATCGATGTCGGATTTGACTATCTTCTCAGGTGAGCACTCAGTCTCCTCTGGATATTCCTCAACAGGTGATACAGAGACGTCGGCATCCTGTGTCACATTAAACTCCTGACAAGAAGTCTGCTGATCAGGGTCTTGCTGCCACTCTTCCACATGATCCTGACCAGCTGTTTCCTGGTTTTGTTCCGAGCTGTTTACATCTGGCGGAGGTTCTCCGTCTCCGGGAGGCGGAACATCTGATTCGAGGGTTACATCATCACAGCCTGCCGGAGGTGGGAGGTCCTTTTGCACAAAAGTCGTGCTCTCAACTTCCTCCTCGGCTAAGGAGTTTCCTTGGCAAAGGTCCAAGCCGAAGCCATCCCGCTGACACTCCTGGACTGGTGCGTCAGATGACGGCAACTGGCCCATGATGACTAAACCTCCACTGCTCTTCTCCCCTGTGCTCTCAGATACTCCGTTTACTTCCTTCCCAGATAAGTCCTCTCCCACTGTGGCCTCCCGTCCTTCTCCTCCTTTATCAGTTTCCTGCTCACCCCACCCTGCCAGTTGAAGGTTTTCCACAGGCAGCGAGCTCCTCGGTTCTTGACTTTCGTACAAACTCAAGTTCTGTGTGGTGTCGGGCTGTTTCCTTCCATCTGCCCTCTCAGACTGAAGACACACCCAATCCTCAGGGGGGCTGAGGCCATGCTCCCCAGGGTGTACTACAGACACGCTTCCGTCTTCCTCGCTGACATATCCGTAAGTGACACTAGCGCCGTTTCCAACTCGGTCTTCTGGCGTGTTTGTTTGTGGGCAGCTCGCAGTCTCCGGCTCGACACACTCGCGGCACTCGGCGGCCGTATGCAGACAGTCCGAGCGCAGCTCCAGCACAGACACTCTCTGCGGGAAAAGACGAGGTTAACAGCGCAGTTGACTGTGTGATTGCATAAGGTGTTCCGCCACTTACACAAAATGAGCCGGCGGGGTGAGAAGTCAAAAGCAGGAAAAAGACAAACATTCAAACGTGGAGTTCTGTGACTCACCTTGGCGTGGAGATGACTCGTCAAATGCAGCAGCTGCTCCACAGTCCGGCCAAGGCTCGGCGGGTCGTGGCCCGGGTACACGCTTTGCGTCAGGGCGTGCAAGCCGGAGTGGTGGCAAACCACACGGGCGTCCGTCAGCACCGGATGAACTAGCTGGGGCCCTCGGTCCGACTCGGCGTCTGCCTCAGCCCTGCCACGGAATAAACACTTAGATCATCCCCTGAAGGAAAGAGCTCAGCCCCGATTGGCCCATCAAGCACAGAGAGTTTAAACAGTGATGTCAGCTGATCTGCATTAACACCCACCCCCAAACACACACACACACACACACGCACATGCACACGCACACGCACACGCACACGCACACACACACACACACACACACACACACACACAGGCATTGTGGTTGCTAACAAGTCTTATTTTAGCTGTTTAGAAGATAGTGGGTCATGCAACACTGTAATTAAAGCTGCAAGCAGCGATGCATGAGCCCTCACAGGCCTGTTTTTGTGTCAAATACTCAAAGAGATCATCAAATTTTAACGCCATGCTCCAACAATGTAGGGTGTCAAATATGGTTTCCCTTGAGGGCCATTACGTCGGTGAACCCATATAAATGTATAATTATGTCTGTGAACCCATATAAATATATAAATGTATCTTCTCTGGTTCCCCCTGTTTTTGTGACTTGTTATTGTGCCTGTGAAAGAGCGGGGAACACCGTCCGGCCAGGCGGCACCGTTTGCGCAACGCTGGGTGGACCATGTTTAGCTCCTGAAGTCACCAGTGACCTCACCCCTCATGTGTCATGTGGAAAACTTCATTACCCGTGATTAGGAAGAGGTAGCGTTTGCTCGAGCGGCGGGTAAAAGCAGCAAAACTGTGAGATTTATGTCGAGAGAGGAGAAGGTCCATCTCCACTTGAAGCCATCCCTCAGTCCATTTAGCAAATGGCTGCTTCATATCACTAAATAAAGACAATCTGACCTCATTAGTGCACCGGCGTGAGGAAGGGGGAACACATGCCAGCCCTTCGCCAGTTAAATCTGTGAAGATGACTCTGCATGTTTGCGTGTGCGAGTGTGTGTCTGTAAATGTGGTAAACACATCATTAGACAGAAAAGTCATAACCAGGGCTTTTGTGCACCAGAATAGTTTCCCACTGCTATGGTTTCGGCGTGGAAAAATACTGGGAGAACCTTTCCAGTGTGCCCTCAAAGAGGGTTGAAGGTTCGCCGCCACCGTGATCGACCAACTTGTCCCCTTTGTGGCGCTGCAGCGAGAGAGAGTTTAAGTAACGCGTAATGCAACTCAAGACTGCCTAAACTTCATGTTACTTCAACTGTATGGCTAAAATGTTAGGCGAAAGCAAAGACAAATGGCATTGTTTTGTTTTGTTTAGTTTTCTTTTACAGCATATTATCTCACACGCGCCAAGCTGTTGCATTTGTCACTGCGTCACTCATTTCCGAAAAATAAGACAAACTTACAAAGACCAGTGCATTCTCAAATGTGGTTAACCGTTCATATTTAAACAAGAAAAATATGAATAGCGATTAAACGTATTACAAGATAATATATTTACGTATGTATTCCCTATTTTTTTGTAGTAGTAGTAGTAGTATTGTTGTGTTTTTTTTATTTTGGTAAAATTTTATATTTAAAAATTTAGTCTTTAAAGTAGGTTAGCATGATGGCAAGAAATATTTGCCAAAATCTGTTTTCCCCATTTTACATCACTCCTTTGACTCATTCTGAATATTCTGAAATGATCTATAATCAGAAATTACAGTAAATTATTAAATAAAAGTAACGCAATGTATACACAACAAAACATGACGGTGAATAAGATGGTTGTGTTTATTAACCGATCTTTCCTTGTTTCTCACCTGACCCACTTCTGTACAAATCCACAAATGAAGCTGTCAGAATTATGACTGAGGAGTGATAATTATGTTATTTTTAGGGTTGGAACTAACAATTATTTTAACAATCTATTAATCTGTTGATTGTTTTGTGGATTAATTGGTAATCTTAAAACCTTTAAAAATGAGTTTGTGACGATGATGTCGGACAAGCGTTGGCTTTTGTGATGTGTCAAAAGGCGTTTCGCACGGTGGTGACTCGACATGACTGTCCACTTTGAAGTGCAACGATCTGTGCGTAAAATAAGAAAACCTTTATTTGTCTCACAATGGAGAAATTCGCAATAGGCTGCATATAGAAATCGAGGGGAGAGGAGCGCGCTCTGTCATCTGAACACATGCACTCTTTTGAGTTTTTTTAGGCTGCCAAAGTGAATTTCCGAACGCAACCCGTGTTGACGGGAGCAAATGTGTGAGGGTTGGACAAAATTCTGCTTCTTACCTTGGAAAAGTTTGTCTTTTTGGTTTAAAATGGCTTACGTTAACAAGAATCCCGCACCGCACTGTGGCCAAAGGTAGAGTCCTGGTCAGTTATTGTGCTGTAAATAGTCCTTGCTGTGGTGGACGACACATGCTTGCGGCAGCAAGAGAGTTACGCTACAACAGTAGTTGCCATGACTACAGTTCTTTGACTTGTCGTTCTTCTTCTTCTGCCTTTATTTCTTCTTCTACTTTTTTTTAGGCGGTTGGCATATACTTTTGGTGCATTACCGCAACCTTTTTAGGGAAACGATAAAGAAGGCCACCAACGGCGGTCGCACCTGGGTAAGTTGTCGGACCAGCCAAACTATAAAAAATAGTGTGACGAATAGTCGGAAAAATACGATTTTCGTTTTTGTATTGCATTTGTTCATTTATCTATTGCAATCATTTTGTAATCGCCTATTTTGGTGTTTTCATATGTCATAGATTTCATTATTTATTCAATTATTAATTTGATCTTATTTACTTTTGTATTGATTCACTTTTTGTGTATCATTTATCTAGTTTTTACATAATTTACTTTTATCATGTTATTTATTAAAATGAGTCGAATAAATTTCACTTAATTATGTACAGTTTTACTCAGCAGTTCGTTGCCTTCTTTTTTCTGAAAGCATCACTAGGTTTCTGGCCTTGACAAAAAGAAACGGTCCTGTCAATTCTATCTTAGTAGTAGAATCACTACCACGGTACATCGAGACTGAGCAAAGCCTGTAGCATTCGTGAGGAGCCCACCAGCTCAGCGGAGACTCACTGTGCAAGGAGCTGCTGGAGGCTGGCGTGACCCCGGAGCGCTGCAATGGCAGCGGGCGTGTGGCCCTGCTTATTCAGCAGCCGCGCCGCGTCCCTCGCCCCGGGCTGCCACAGCAGGAAGCGCGTGACGCGGACTAAGCCTCGCCTGGCTGAAAAATGCAGCAGGGTCTCGCGTGGATGCTGATCTACAGGAGAAAGGGAAGGGAGACACCAGAATGGAAATGAATGCGATGGGCAGTCTTTGACTATGCATATTGTATATTTATATTTTTTGGTATAGAATATCCAGCACAATACCGAGGCATACCCAAAAGTAATATATGACATAAAAGACAGAAAGTGCCTCGCAATAGGCCACGACCCCACAAACAACTATAGTGGAACACAGCCTCTTTTACTCAAATTCTTTTGCTATTATTGTGTGTTATTAATAATTAATTTAATGATATTTATTATAGCGTGGACAAAAATCAAAAATGCTTTCTCACAATAATGAGGAACCTTATCAAAATCAATATGCAATGCCTTTTTTTTTCCTCTGCCAGTGTTCACTTTTTCAAATGATCACTTCTATAACATTACTGGAAAATCACAATGTCTCCATCACAAGTGAGCTATTTTTTACAACAGGCCTGCAAGCTACTCTAATGGTGGGTGTTTATCAGCCTTCTAATGCTAAATGGCTAAGAACCAGTGGCTTATAGATCAGCGGTCTTGCTGAGCACACGCTGACAGAGGCGCAAGCGGAGAAGATGTGAACGGAGGCGGAAGCACAGTGAGTCGCACACAAATCAGCTTGAAACACTTCGAGCTATTTTGACCAAATATTTTCACCCACAGTGCCAAAAATAGCAAAAATAATATCCACGGCATATTAGCATATGATCGCCACCACTTACAATTGATTTACAACTCCATATTTAATACTGACTACTTGGGAGCATTGACTAGCCTCTGAGTGCTAAGCCGGAGAGAACCAGCAGGCCGAGAGACCTCGGATTCATTTTGCAGTATAAACTGACAACAAAGCAAGTGGAGGTGGTGTGAGCAGAGGCGGTGTTAGAGGAGGCAGAAACGCGTCTGTCAAGAAAGACTATGGACCTAAAGATTGCTTTTACTCCTTTACTATTCGTGGCAAAAATTGTAAATCGTCAATAAACTCTTGGAAATATAGATACGTATATAAGCCTAACTACTGTGTCCCCCTACGCCTGACAGTTAACAATTATTGTGCGCCGTGACTGGGGCAACGTCCGTCGCCGGCACCTTACACCATCAGTCACCTGACAGAGCCAATAAACGTGTCCCATTCGTCTTTCAATGACACGTTGACACACGGCGAGACAGTGACGGTGGCATCGAAGAAGTTGTCACCAGTGGTAACTTACGGAGTTCATCTGTGAGGCGGTGAGGCCTGCGCTGATAATGTCACTCCATGAGGCGTCTTTGGAAAAGTTATTTCAGATTGTTTTGCCTGAGCCTCTGTCAACTGCCAGGACGTCTGTGATCCAAATGTGTATGGCTTTTATCAGACAGCGTGGCGGACGGGGACAGACATCTTCATTTGATTAGTGATCATAAGTGACTTTTGTTTTGCTGACAGTTCTCATTTGTGAGCCTCCTCCAGTAACTGCAGTCTGGGTGTCAGCCTTGTTCACGAAAGCATCTGTTTAGCACGCATGCTCATGTTTATGAACCAATCAGATTTTCAAAATTGTTTGCTTTTTTGCTCTTCTCATTGCTCTTGTAATTTGTCGTCGTATAACACCAACAAGAACCTGACCACTTTTTTTCTTTTGTTGTGACATTTTTGCTCTGAAGAAATTATGTAATCATCTATTAAAGGTTTTCTTATCTTATTTTGGTAATAATCTGACTTTTTTGTCATTAATATATAACCACTTGTTTTCAAAAGTATTGCAGCTTTTTTTCTGAGGGGAAAAATGCATTTTTCAGTCAATTACTTTTCCTTTGAACATTTTTTTTCTTTCAATGTACATTTTTTCATAAGGATTTCTCATAAAACAAAACATTGGGGAAAAAACTGAATTCAGACATCATAGATTCAAACACTGGCTCCAACCTTGAGAATGGATGGATGGACTACTATTATTACCTTTTTTCTTGGAAAAAAAAAAGCAATTTCGCCAAATATTAACAAGTTAAAAAAAGGCACTTTTTCCAGTAATAAAATGTGTGTAAATTTTCTCAGAACATTATAATAGTCCCCCCTTCTCCAAAAAAAAAAAAAAACCTTTTTATTCTTGAAAATATATATTTTCATAATGGGAAAAAAATATTTCTGGTGGGGTGCGGGGGGCTTTCGGGTAGTTAACTGGATTACAAGTCTTACCAACGCTGCCAGAGCTTTGGTTGCCTAGCAAATTCCATCCCGGCGGCAGTGGGATATGGTGGAGGGCCAAGGCAAGACTCTCGTCCAGACGCTCGCACTCTAGCAGGGGAATATGACACTCATCCAGGAGCAGCGCCCCGTCGAGGCCATCTGTGCGGCCCACCGTGCTAACCTGGGTGGTAAAGCGTACAAAGCTGAAAACATTTTTTCTGTCCTCAATTTGGAAAGAGGGCGGGGAGGTTCAAGGCTCACTAGAAATTGGGCCATGTCAAAAGCCAAGTCCTGAACGAAGGTGAAGCGATGCTCCGCTAAAGTGGCAACGTGAGACGGTAGCGTCGCCAGCTCATCGGAAGCCTCGGGCTCGCCGTGAGTGACGGCACACAGGGTGACGGAAACCTCCTCGCAACAGCCGTGAGCTGCATGGAGAAAGGAGACAAGCAAAATAAAAAAGTGCCCAACAAAAGTTAGGTTATCAAACACATTACCAAGTTTTGTCAAGTACTGATATGGCTCATCAGCTGAAAAGAAACACTTTCTTTCTCTAAAAAAACATTTTAATAGCAATACAATTTTTGTTCTCCACATATCATTTTGTCAAAATAAGACTAATTGATATTATCTTTTTCTCATTCATTTATTGACTTTTTCCCCATCATCATATTGTTTTTTTTCTCATTTTTTTGTCTCAAAATCCTCCAACAAGAATATGACTCTCGCAATAATACGACTTTCTCAATTAATGTGACTTCTTGGGGAAAAAAAAGTAACTTCTTGGGTTATGAAATATGTATTTTGCCTCACATTTCTTTCTGATAAGATTCACAAAAATTCTGGAAGAAAATTCTCGCAACACTGATACCCCCTTCAAATTAAAAAAATAAAAAAAATCTTGTAATTATGGAAGTTTTTCTTTGGGCAGTAATATAAATTCTCTGAAAATGTATTTTCGTACAATGTTCATTTGTTGGAATATGCAAAGCCACTTTACCTATATGCTAATCAAAGTTCTTCTTCCAAATTTGCTGTCTGTTTTATATTCTATTTTATTTTCTTTATATCTTAGTACCTTTTTCTATGCACCAAAATGAGCAGTGCTGCCAATCTCATATACCTGATGTACAATACAATACATCTTTATTTAGCTGCAACAAAGCGCTTTACAGAACGGTTAACATAAAACAACAAAATAACATACCACAACACATATCATAAAACATGGACAGTCATGCAGTCGTAACAACTATTCCTCCATATCCGTTGTTTGAAGCAGATATCGATGAAAGAGGAGAGACTCAAAGTCTCCACTTATTCTATACTCTATTCAATTTGAAAAAGTCAAACTTCTGAAATAATATGTACAAAAAAGTCGATTTGCTACAAACTGCAGCATATTCTCTAATTCACATTTTGGTTCCAGCAAACTTGCCTTCTTGTGATTCGTTAGCAGTGTCAATTATCCTCTTAACCTTTTGCCAATGAAAAGGTCAAGAGAACATAAGCTAGTATACAGGCAGGTTGAAAATTTGTTGAAAATACAGAACAGGGTGAGGGAAGAAGATTCATGATTGATTCCATCCTCTCTCTACTTCTGCAATAATAAGGCCCGACTTCCTCCTGCTGGCCTGCCAATATAAAGTCAGTATGATTATTGTATTTGAAAGCAGGAGAGTGCAGAGGGACATATCTGTGATAATGATTCGATACACTTTTACATTACGCGATATCGCTCCCATTCAGGCTAGATAGAGAGCTTTATTGGGAGCGATATCGCAGTGTTGCTCCATTTTAGTTGTTTATTTAACAAAGACAATTCGTTGGGCAATATGATGACCTCATCTCTTGATTATTACGTGACCAGAAGAGCATTTATTGTCTTGCACTTCAAAATGAATGGCAAGGGTGTGGAGGCAAAAAGGAAGGGGAAATAAAAACATATTTTTCTATAATTAAACACATTTGCACCATATTTTAGCCCAATCCTGTGAACAGATGGCCGTACAAATTAGCAGATGCTCATATATAATGTGGTAAAAGACAAAGTTTTCCACCAGAGGGAATAATGAAAACTGAGCACAAGTCTTTTTTTTTTTTTTTTGGTCTTGAAATACAAGTTTTTTCTTTGTGATATTAATTAATTTCGATTAATTTAAATCGGAACATATTTTTCTATAATTAAACACATTTGCACCATATTTTAGCCCAATCCTGTGAACAGATGGCCGTACAAATTAGCAGATGCTCATATATAATGTGGTAAAAGACAAAGTTTTCCACCAGAGGGAATAATGAAAACTGAGCACAAGTCTTTTTTTTTTTTTTTTTTGGTCTTGAAATACAAGTTTTTTCTTTGTGATATTAATTAATTTCGATTAATTTAAATCGGAAAAATTACCTTGGTCCTTAAACATTTAGGTTGGTGATTTCCAGAAAATTTGAATTTGGTCACAGGTTTCTATAATTTTTTTTTTCCCTCTTTTCGGTGTGGTGTTAATTGTTTTTAACAAAATATGGGCGTGGCGAAAATCTGTCCAAGTGTCTTACCGGGACACAGTGCCTGCAGGGTGTCATGGCCACTCCTCAAGGTGCTGCTCAGGTGCCTCTGCGTGCTGCCAGCAAACAACAGGAAGTAATCTGCGGTGGCGGCGTTGGCGGCGCCCTCCTCATCCACGGCCAGCTCTTCATCGGTGAGCTGCACTGTGATCACGCAGCGGCCCTGCACGCATGGGGCAACACAGAAGCGCCCTATAACAGTGTTTCCCAACTTTTAATGAACCAAGACACGGGTTTGAGTTCATGAAAATCTCAAGGCGAATGTCCAAACAAAAACAGTCAAAATAACGATGGCCAAATCTCAACGTACACACAAATCAATTGATTCTGAAATACGGGCATGTTTCATGAAAGACAAAGTGTATGTTCTCACTGAAAGCCGTGACTTATTGTTGTATGAATGGCAACAGGTGGATAAGCAGGTTTGCTGTACCTTTTTGGAAACGAACGGAAGAGCATTTAATTGCCACTATACATTACTGACAAAGAGAGATGAGCAAAGGACAAATGGCATGAAATTGAATAATCTGCCTGCCTGTGACATCCCTGATAACGTCTCATGGCATTGGAAAAGCAAATTATTATTCAAAACAAGTCTTCATTTTTGGTTTTTACACACCTGGGACTTGCGAAGGTTATTCTGTTTTTTTTCAAACATTTTTTTGTCCAACAAGGTTTTGTTTTTTTTTTCCCCCCCACAAGCCATAACTTGCATTAATTTACACAGAAAGTAGGCGTTCCTTCCAGGAAAAAAAATCTAATCTGTCAAAACATAATAAGCAACAGAGAAAATATCTTGAGTCAAAAGCTCTGCCTTTGCAACTTAAACCGGGTACCGTGCTTTTGTCAATGTTCAGCACGACATGACTGTAATTGCCTTCTATCTGGCTCTCTCTCGTCATCCAGAAAATGTGTCATGTCTTTTTCTCGGCAGCAATTAAATCTGCTCGGCGCACCTTTGAAGAGTAGTTGCTCAAGCGGTTGGGAAAAGTGGCTAAATATAGCAAACCAATCAATAAGCTTGCTAGACTGACTGCTTTTTTTTTTCAAACTGTTACCAACACTTCTCAGAGTATCAACGTGACTCAAAGGGAAAAACTTGACACGCAATACATCACAGACACACAACAACTTCCTGGTCTTCACCTTGGGAACGTCACCATGGTCCTGTATCTTCCAACCTTTGTCAGACACGACAACTCCTACGCCACCCCTTTGACTAACCACACGCTTTCCTGCACTGCCTTTTCTTCTTCGATTAAATGAGAAAGTAAACAAGATTTCATTGCGCCGACTGCAATGTCTGCCAAAGTGTGTTGACAACCATAAATGGAAGTTGGGTAAGTGCTCTCTGCTCGAAAAATGAATTAATTCTCAATCACAGACAACTGTTACACGACACTATTTTAATCTCACCATGCAGATGCTAACTATATCAACTTTTTTGCGTGACTGTTAATCAAATTCCGTAAAATCTCAAAGTGCACAACTTCAAAGGCATTCAGCACTGAGGTTCCACTGCATTCTACAAGCTGAAGGCGCTGACGCTTTTCAAGCGCAGGTGAGTACTAATAATAAAATGTATTATTTGTTTCATTTGATGTGCTTCTTTAATATTTATCATAGTACAAAAAAGTATTACAGCAGCCACAACGAAAAGAAACAAATTCACTATATCGCATGCCCCAAAGAAAATTTTAATGTTACGTCTTTTTAACGGCCGTAATCGTGTTGCGAATGTCTATTCCTTAAAATAAGGTCACCACTTGTTCTTGGAAAACTATCTAATAGAATGTACTTTTTTTCTGGATACATTCAGAAGTTTCATAACGTTTTTCAAAATTGAATCTTTTTTCCTCTCTATAATTAATAATAAATTAATATTTAGTCATGATATATCCCTTTTCACGACAAGATGATGATCATTTGTTCTCCCATTATCTTTAAAATTCCAATGAAAGAGCAGTTTTACATTACTTTTACATTTTTAGTATCATTCCTTTGTGTTTTATTCTGTTCTATTTGACAGCGGCTAGTGTCTCACCCGTGACGGGATTGCTCCGATCACACTGTAAAGTGAAGAACGACTTTATGATGACTACAGTTTAACACCGATGTCCATTTTGTCCTATCGGAGAAAAACAATAGACAGCTTGCCTGCAAAATCCACAGTAGCTAGACTGTCTGTTAGCATGACAGGATTGTTAGTGAGCCAAGAATACAACATAAAAAACACCCATGCGCGCGCACGCTTGTTGTTTTTGTCAAGTCACAATTGACTGAATTGTGTGCTTGACTACCGCTCAGAATGAAGCGATGTCACCCGAGGGCATGGCGTGCAGGAGGCGAGGAGGCACCAGAAAGGGGCCGATTGTTTCGCCATGAGCTTCTTTCCAACGGGGGAACTGCAACTTTATTGACACGGAGGAGGGATAATGGGGAGATTTTATCCCGTTGGGTGTCCCGTCGCCTACAAAGCCCGACATACACAGAACCGCCGCTTAGCGCTCAGGCGTCAGATGTGCTTCCTTCTCTTGTGTAGAGTGCCAGCCTCATGCTTGACCGCAACGTTAAATCACCGGAACAATCTTTCTGCTTCGCATTTGGCTAGGACATTATAGTGTTTCCGGCGATTTCAGTTGCTTGAAAAGGGGAGATCTGCACCTAGCTAAGACAACAAGTCATGGGTGTAGAAAGTCTGTGTGGGGGTGCTATTATGTATTTTAGCTAAATTGTTATATCACAATCTTGGCAAAACTCTGAAGGGGACACTCACAGACACATTTTGGCAAATGAGTGGCTCATAAAAGAATTACTGGGTTGTTCAATTTCACACTTGAAGAGTGGGCAGGCATTCCAGACAAAATTATTTGTATGCAAACAAGTCAAATTAATTATCCCTGACTCCCCCTGTCTGTATGATTTCATCAAACTTGATCGCCAGCTCAATTTGCTGTAGGTAACATCATATATTGTCCTTTATGTAAAGGTCATAGCCAAGGTCGACAGTCAATGCCATGGCCAATTACGGACTGTCACAGGTGTTCTTGGCACATGGCATTTTGAAATGGGTCACAATGAACTATTTTGTGGAGTAGTGGCACAAGAGGCTACGCTCAGTTAGCGCCGGCCGGACTTATTCTTTTTCATTTGTTTGGTTTATATTTCTGGCCTATAATGCTTTATACAAACAAACTGTAAATATGACAGCCGCTGAAACGCCAACTAAGCATTTCTTTTTGTGCCGGGTGACTACGTATTCTGACTCCGTAATCAAACACTTTTGTGCTCTGACAAAGTTGTCGCGTCATTATGTGGGTATAAAAAATGATGACAAATATGAGACAAGCGAATGCAAAACAGTACGGCGGTAACTGCAGTGACTACTTGCGATGCTTGACCATATGTTCTTGCACAATGCGACGCTAATGAAGGGGTAAAGTCTGAATTAGAGTCACGTGACCACTTGGTCATACGGCACATTGTTTATCACCTTGAAATGATGCACGGCAGGACAGTTGGAGATCGATGACCCGCGTGCGACGTACAGGAAGTGCTCGCTTAGATTCTGCACGATCAGTCGTGCAGACAGAGCACCCTGTGTCAAATGCACAATCTGGCAGTCAGATAAAAGTTTGCGTGGCGTGCCAATCAGCGAGCAGCAGACTTTTGGTATGCGAGGGGAGTCTTGCGGTCTCAACACGGAGGACCGGGGAGTGAGTGCAGTAAATGAGATGTAGAGAGGTGGAGGCCAGCAGGCATGACATTGTCTCCATTAAAAACTCATCTCTTATCTCCGGCGCAGATTGGAAATTAGGAGGTTCAGGCACTACTGAACAGATTGCTAACTCGGCGGATTTGTGACTCTGCGCTCCATGCCAGAATGAAAACATATTAGTGGGGAAATAAGATCTGCACAATCACAAAGAATCAGTGATAGCGGAGTCCATTTAGCAAAGTAGTCGCTCAAATTATTCCTGACAGCAGAGAAACAATATTTTTCCTCCATTTGTTTCGGCCTCAAATTAATATACGCTCACCACAAATGTTATTACCAGCCGACGACTTGTGAAAGAAGACGCTTGAGTGGAGTGGCTATCGATCCGTCTGTGATGACTGCATTTGTGCAAATGCATCAGGTGGAGTTGCTCAGAAAAATAAGCGGCTCTCATCTTCCATCAGTGGCAAAAAAGGGAGTTAGGGACAACTACACCACAACGATTCAACAAAAAAAGAAATGTGTAGACCAGGCATTTCCAAGGCCCTCTCGAAATTGTTATTTATCACTTTGGGGGTGGCTTAACAAGCCCAAAAACTCAATCAATCGACAATAAATAGGCTGGATGCGTCTCAAACGAGAACCCTGGTTGAAAATTAACAGGAAGTCGGACTTTGGGGTTTAAAAGTAGGCATTTAGGGACCAATTTCAGGGACATTTACAGAACATGAAACATAAAATAACAATAATACACGGGAACACATCGCAAAAAACATCGACAATAATACAATTGCGACAACTATTCCTACGTACGCCTTGTAGTTTGAAGAGGACATATAAGCTAAGGAATCTTAGCTTTTGGCAGTGCATCTAATTTGTAAATATTGTGCAGCACAAAAAAAAAAAGCACAGCACTAACGTTAACATTTGAATATGTAAACGGTGTTTTGGGAAAATAAAAATTCACACTTTTCCCAACTGCAACTTTCATTTCATAAAAATAAGATGCACTGCGCATGATTCACTTCCCTAAAACGAAAAAATTCAAGCTGCGATACACTGTTTTATTTTATTGGACAATATTCCTATTTGCAAGTCACAGATTGAGCTGGTGGTAGATTTTCGTTCGTTTAACCCATCTTTCGGAAAAAAAACTGAGAATCAGCTGCCAGCAGTTTGCTGTTTTTCATGGTGAATTTGAAACATCGTTGATAGCGTATCTGTTTATACAAAGCACTTTCATGTTTGTCATTTTGCTCCCTTACTGCACCAAATGTAAACAAAATGTGACTTGCATGTGCCTAACCAGAATTTTGCTACATCTGAGTGGCAAAACGTTGATGTTCCAACAAAGAGCATGCAATGCAGGGATTCTCCAAAGTTGCTTGTCATCAAAGCAGCCAAAGAGGCACATGGTACATTACGCTGATTTCAGGAGTCGAAATTCCTACAGCGTCATGTCGCAAGGACGTTTGGGGGGTTCTTCTTAAGCATGGGCTTTGGGTTCTTCGAGGCAAGCCTTTCTTTTGATGTAGCTAAAAAGCAACCCGGTGCACCCACCTACCTCCCGTACCAACTCCATTTTGCAGCGTCGTGATTAGCAGGTCAAAGCCCCAGCAGGCCACTTTGTTAAGCGCTTATTAACAGCCGTGAGCTCGTGCCGGAACACCCGACCCCCCGGCCCCCACCTCCACACTTTGGTTATTGCAACTGTGTGATGCGCTGAGGGGCTGCTTCTACCACACTTTGTTTTCTTACCACATTTTGGAACTTGAAACCAAGTTTTTAAACAGAGGCTCAGCTCAATAACCACATCAGTATCGGAACAGAACTGCAGATAAATGCAATATTGCCAAAACTGTAATCACGCCATCCAAGAAGTAAATGTCAGTATCCCCTTTCGCATGGCCTGTCAAAGCTGGCTTTTTCTGTGCCACTGTTCTGTGTGAAAGGTAGCGATAAGGACGGTGGGGGTGATGAAATCAACCAGCAAATTTCTGGCTTCCGAAACGGGAAGTGACATGAAACACACAGGGCTTACTTTTCCTGCCCTGATGTGCAACCAATCATGGCTGTCCCATGAACGTTTTCTCGTCAACATCTCGCGCGATGATGCATTTTGATGAGAAAGGTGGATTTTGATATTTTGCGTTCTTAGTGCAGTATGTCCAGTGACATAATCGGAATGGCATGTGTGCCAAAACATCCCGTCAATAGCACCTATCTATACGACGCGTTCAGGTGCCATTCACATTATTTGTGAACTTTGTTTTACTTCTCCTCAGGGCTCCGAGGAATATGATAAACTATAATAAGAACTTCTCTTAAAATGCCTAATGAGGCAATGAACCTGAGTGGTTCAGTGTGAAATCAGAGCACTGCTGTAAACTGGAGATAACGATGTCGAGTGCAGAACTCTTGTGCCGGACTTATCTAACTTCCTCTGTGTGCCTTCCTCCGGCCTGCAGAGTGCGACTGCCCGGAACGCTCCAGCAACCGCGAGGCACTTGAAGAGAATGCTCAAAATGGCTGTATTGATGCCATTAACTACAGTAATTGGACAACTAACTCGAGGAGAATTGGTTTGCTTCAGTTCTTGAGCAATTCCTTGACCTGAAAAGAGCCTCGCGTGGCACAGCCGCTGGGTCGCAAACCACCCAAGGTTCCTCCATGCGATAAAAGATTTGATTCCTGTGAGGTAATCATTTCATAGCCTCAGCCAGACACTTAAGGGAAAAGCTAATGACAATGACATTTTTCAAATCGAGTATTCTTTTTCCCTTATGGGATTTGCATTTTTTTTTCTTTAAAAGCTCTACCTTGCATCAACTTCTACAGATATGATAGAAATATTAAAAATATATTTTCAGATAATTAGATCGATTGACAGGGGCACTATTTCTCGCTGCCTTTGGGTGGCCACCATAGTATAGACCGCATAGTTGTGTTTTTATTTTGTTTCAGACTCAAAATGTTTCATATTGCTCCAAAAAAGCCTTTCCCCAACCCCCCCCCCAGGCCACTTACTGCTGTTGGTGTTTCGTGGTCACCGTATGCAACCAGACATGAAGACTTCATTTGGCAGGGCAGTATCAGAATGGCGTTCTTCCAAATGCGAGTCACCCCCTCAACCGTGTCCACAGAAAGCCATCTGCTATGCTATATGACGCTACGCTAGGATAAAAACTGCGTCATTTGGAAAACCGCAGAACATTTCTTTACTAGGCCTTTTGTTGAGTAAATATACTCGATGAGACCATGCAATTACAACTCAATATACTGCTCTGGTTACAATATACTGTATCTAACTAGATTTTTAAAAAAATTACATATACTTAGTCGATACAGCAGTTAGTGCTCAACCATCCTGCTCGTAGGAATTACAGAACACAAGGCTTGTGACAGTAAAGTGCGTAAGGATAAAAGGGACTTCTTGTTCACAGCCCGCACACCTGAGACCAGAAGCAGGGCACAAAGCAGATGGTTGTTTACACAGGCAAAAAGGTTTCTGTGAGGCGAATTCTGATACTTACATACAGCGGAGCTTGCTGGGGAGTGAGTTTCATGTCCCTGGGAACTGAAAAGAAAAGAGACAGAAGCGGATGAACATTTGGTTTGGTAGAAAACATTGAAAGCCCCTTTCAAATGTCATAATGTATTCATTCTGTTCCAAAGGGAGTGAACAAAATGAGAGGCACCATAAACCATTTAGAAGCATAAGAAATCTCACTTATGCCGTAAATATGGACGTTAGCCTTAGTTAGGCTAACGTCCATATTTACACAGGATACTAGCTAACTCAGGCATCTCCAAAAAGCAGGGCAGAGAATTCGGAGACACTTTTTGCATCCCACTCAAATATTTTGATCAATAAGCGAGTGAAAAGTGAAGCCCTCCTATTCCTAGTTCATTATTGATGCATTTTGTTGTTTGGTGGAAGCTATCCTCAATTTTGTGCCACTCTGTGAAGCTCGTAGCGGCGGCTATGTCTAAATGCATATGTGGATTTTCATAAGGACACTCATTTTTACGAATGGTGACTTTCTGGTTAAATGAACCAGAAAGGTGAATACAACTAAAACAAAACAATTCCAAGAGTGATATGTGGGCTCATTGGATTGTGACTGCTACACGTATTATCCCGTCTTGGCCTCACGCGGCTAAGCACTTGTAAATCAATTGATGGTATACGGAGGATGCACAGTGGTTATGGAAGCATCAGAACGTTGCTGTTGACAAGGTGACAGTTAAGCTGGACCTTGGCACCCATCTCAACCCTGTGGGAGGGTTTACAGTGCAACACCCACGCACCCACGCACGCACGCATGCATGCATGCATGGCGGACCAGACACTCTTCCCTGCTAGCCAAAACCACCAGTCTGTGTTGGCCTTGGTTACAGGGACAGGGACAGCTGACGGAGCAAAAGTGGGCGGTGAGTGAGGGGGCATGGCTTCAAAATGAGGCCAAACATTTATTGAGCCGTCACAGCCTTGTGCCACCTTCTATCATCTGCGAGTAAAAATAACGAGAGGAGATCCCCTGTCCCACCGCCATGAAAACACACTTCTACGTGGCTCTGCGCCAGGAAGATGAGTTAGCCGGATTCACAAGGTATCATTTGATCTCGGAGAGACCCCCTCTAGTTTCTAAAAGGGATCACGTTCACAAGCCACAGAGTTGGCGTTCTCCTCAGTTTTCCTTTGTTGACTGTTCCTTTGCACTCAAACGAGACCTCGCTGAACAGAATGGTTCCAAATCAGGGGTGCAGGGGGAAGACTACCAAAAAGGGGTCTCCAAACCATTTATACACCAAATATTTTCACGCTTTTGTATCGAATAAATAGTAACGCCAACACCCCACCTCCAATGAGAATTACATGGATCAGGTAAGGGGATAATCAGTGGTTCTAATAATACTCTGGAGTCTAATCCGCTTGCCTTAAGTGCACTGGGATGGAGAGCTGCTTCTTTGCTGCGTGCATAAGTTTGATAAGACTGTCAGACAATGCAGCCCATGAGGCTTTTTGTTTGTTCCTTGGGAAAAAAAATTTAAATTAGACATAACTTATAAATTGGGTGTGATGTATGCCAAAAATCACAGCTGCATATGGACCTTTGTTTCAGGTACCGTTAAAAGAGCGGGGGGGGCTCTTCTTTTTTGGGTGACAGGAACTAAATGATGACTAATGACACTAAATTTAAGCACAAAAAAAAAAAATTAAATGTGAATATGTATACAAATAAATCAATCCATCCATTTTCCGATCCGCTTTATCCTCACAGGGGACGCGGTGGGTGCTGGCGCCTACCCCAGCCGTCTTCGGGCAGTAGGCGGGGGACACCCTGAACTGGTTCCCAGCCAATCGCAGGGCACACAGAGACAAACAACCATCCGCGCTCACACTCACACCTCGGGACAATTTAAGATAAGATAAGATAAGATAAGAAAACCTTTATTAGTCTCGCAATGGAGAAATTCCCAATTCACAGCAGCAAAGTTATGAAAGGAAGAAGTAGAACAACAAATTTAAAGTGTTCAATCAGCTTGCCATGCATGTTTTTGGAATGTGGGAGGAAACCGGAGTACCCGGAGAAAACCCATACAGGCCCGGGGAGAACCTACAAACTCCACACAGGAAGGCCGGAGTTGGGATCGAACCCACGACCTCTGCGCTGTGAGGTCAACGCGCTAACCACTGGAACAACACATCAATAAATTAAAAAAAATCAATAAATATTCAGCCAGGTGAATGGTTGCTAAGCACGTCCGTTCTGAGGGTTGGTATTTGAATCTTGGCTACGGCCTTCCTGTATGGAGTTTGCATGTTCTTCCAGTGATTGTGTGCTTTTGTCCAGGTACTCCAACTCCCCCCGGCCCCCACATTCCAAAAACATGCACACTAGTTTTGGTGAAGACCGAAAATCGTCCACAGGCGTGAATGTGAATGATTGCTCGCATATTGTTATCTGCAAATTACTGCCGACAGCTCCGGGCCAACCTCTTATTTTCTGAAGCAGATAATGATTTGCCAATGTATCAAACTCCCGCGGTACTGCACCAACTCCTGCTGAGGAGGACCCAATGTCAGATTTTCTTTGCCTTAAGTATCGTGGCAAGTATCGGCGGCCAACATGAGTGCTGATACCTTAAAAAAGGTTGGTATCAGCACCGATACCAATATCTGTCACTCACCCATCCCGACAGAAAACGTTTCAAGTAACTTCTAAGCAGAGTAAATCATGAGAATGTAATTTTTAAAAAAACTATTAATAATAATTTAACATGAAACACTACTGTATACTGCAAAACACTGCTTTCACTTTCCACTCACTTTTCTTTAGTAGCATAAAATACTGTATAAACATGCAGATATCCAAGTAAAAAAAACAAAAAAAAAAACAGGTGTCTGACGCAAAAATAACTCCATAAATACAATAACTAAACTCAAAAAGATTTAAAATGAAATGCAAGCTCCATCCATTATCTAAACCAGTTATTCCTCACGAGGGTCGTGTGTGTGCTCAAGCCGATCCCAGCTGGCTCCAGGCATGGATAACCCCATCCAATCACATGACGGAAGACAGATCCGTCTTCACTGTTAAATGTATTTGTATATGCAAATAACTACAGCCGAACGGTTAGTTGCTGTAGACTGCTGTGCTACATTATTATGCCGCTCCCCACGTCAAAGCAGTAACTCTTTTCAGGACATTTGGTAGAGAAAAGGAGACGAGGAGGCACAAAAATATATTTACACTTCCAAACAGAACCCAAGGTGGAATAGGGTGTGTCTACTTGTTCATTCACTTTAACTCACGCCACAGGTGAACAGAATGCAAAGGGGGACAGGGGGTGCAATCGCCATATGATGCCGGTGCATATCAACTGGTGCATGGCGACACGCATGAAAAAGTACATTTCCCATACATTTGTAAAAGCACACTCCCAGTGCGGCACGGGAGAGTCAACCTCCACCCCGCCACCCCACCCTCCCAAAAAAGTGACAATACATTACACAGCCGCGGATTATCGAGAAAACGTGTGTCCGTAGAGAGAAAGATTCCGGCCAACATTTAGGATAAGTGGGCAATGTGAAGTGCATGAATATATTGATTTAGTGAGCCATTCACGGCTTCACTGTGCAGGTCCGTATGTACTTAGATTGGCATGGCTTAATCGTTGAAACAATATGCCACTACTGGCAGCATCAACAAGGTAGCCTCTGGGGGCCACGGGCAGGCAAGCAGGCAGGGCGGCGCCGGCAGTGAACGTGCCACAACGCGTCGCCTTCCACAGGCCTGGTTGTAGCTTCTTGAAGGGAGCGCAGCTGACTCAGCGCAGCATGGGCAGGAGACGGGAGCTCGAAAAACAGAAGGCCCACCGCCGCAACTTGCCGGGCAGCCGCCTCCGTAGCTGGACAATCATCCATTTAGCAGAGCATAATTTGCAGTGCCGTGACCCCAGTTTACTTTGCAGAACACCCGCACAGCTAACATGGCTTATTTCCAACCTATCCAGAGGGTATGTGGTAGGCTGGTAAAGTGGTATCTGTGTCAAAGTATTTTCACATTCTTACAAGCAGTGAGTACAGATGTACAATATCGGCAACGATGGTCATGCTGGTATCCAGAGGTCGACTCAAGTCATAAACTTCAAGTCTAACATCCTAAGTTACAGTGGAGAGAAAAAAAAATGAAACAAGTCGAGTCGTGTCAAATTTCAAGCAAGTCAGGTCATTACTTGGTTCAGGCAAGTTTTAAGTCAAGTCAATCTTGCTCATCACAACCTATATTGGAATGATGATCAGATATTATTTCACTGACCATAAGATGAAAATTGTATTTTCATCTCTAAAAATTAAATCGGCAAACAGAAAAATGCATTTACATCTCTAAAAATTAAACATATGTGTTAAATAAATGCAAATTTACTTTTTTTTTACTTTTTTAGAAGAATGTTGTCTCATCTTGCAAGAAGAGCTGGGCGATGCGATGATAAATAGCGCAAAAACGACATTGTGGCACTTTAACTGTACAGGGAAATGAATCATAAAATATCGTCAACGTACATAACAAACTGACAGTGCAAAATTAGATCCAAGAATTCGAAAGAATATTAATAAATAACTAAATGGGTAAATGCAAATAAATATGACGGTGTTGTGAAAGAATAACAACAACAACAATAACAACAAACCGATAATTATTAATAGCTATTTACAAAAAAATAAAATAAATACCCTCAACACATGAAGGGGTATACAAGCAATTTAGTTTTTATTTGAGCCTCATCAAAACAAAAAGAATAGCAAAACTGAGAATCACAGATTTTTCTTCTTAAGTTTTTCCGATAATTGAATGTTGGTGACGTTCCAGACAGCTTCAACGGGCTGCTCATGTCACTTGCAGCCGGCGAGAAACCATAAGCCTGCGCACAAGTCAGGTAAATGTACCAGTACAGCATCGGTGGCTGGTCCCAAAATGCCCAACCTATTTTCTGTAACCTTTTGTTGTTGTTGTTGGCGGAGGGTGGATCTTGAACTAGAACGCAGTGGGTTGATTGGGCAACAAGACG